ATATGCCAAGACTTTGACGCTAGACTCCCTGCGTCAGGAAAGCTGGGCCCGCACGTGTCTGTTGCTGCCTCCCTCCCTGCCCTCCAGCGGCATCCTGGGACTCCCTCACCTTCCTTCCTAATCCCCCCAGAGCAGCCGCTGAGGCCCCACCTCATGTTCATGCTCCCGTTGTACCGGCTTTCTTCCACTGGAATTTCGCCTCCCTAAGTGCAGGGGTTTCATCTGCCTGGAGTGTGGAGGTAACCCCAGACCTGGATGGGGCATTTTGTGGGCATTCAACACAGGCTGACATTGGGTCAATCTGTCTCCATTTGGCCGCCGTTACACATCTCCGACTTTCAGAAGGAAGAAAGTGAGGCTCAAGCCGGCCCAGTGACGTGGCCAAGCTCCCCGTGCTGATCCGGGCCCCCAGCCAGGGCTGGGCTGACTCGGAAGCCTGCCAGCCTCCTCTGTAGCTTACGATTCTCTGGCAGGTTCCCCAGCAGATTCCCCTCAATCCAATTATCCTCCCCTGGAGCACAACTCAAAGGTGTGTCTAGAGATTTCTCAACATCTGGGTTTCCACCTCCCATGTATGCAGTGACTCCTGCATTATACAAAAAATACCTCTGCCCTCTGCCCCCAGACACACTGAAGAACCACACCATCTCACCCACATGCTGGTTCGCTGCTGCCAGAGGCAGCAGATGAAACTTCCCAAACCCAGAGACCCGGGTCTCTGAGCCATCTCCTGCATCCATGCAGCAGGATCAGCTCATGGCAAAAGCAGTGGTTTCTTGCCTTCTTAATGGCAGGCTAGTCATTAGAAAACAAAAAGTGTTTCCCTTCCTCTCTCAGGAAGTCAGCTGGTTTTAGGTCCAGAAGATCTCGCCCTTCTGTTGCCCTGAGACTCTCATGGGGTGGGAGTGGGTTGAGCTCTCCAGGGTTTGAAGGCTTGGGAAGACCAGTCTCCCAGATCTGTGGGTTTTATGGGAGTCCAGACTGGCACTCCGCTTGACACGGAGGCCTCAGAAATAGATGGGGCTGCTTATGTGGCTCGGGAGGCCAGGCAGATACCACGCAGGGCTCCGGCAGAGTGGAATCAGGCCCCAGGATGGACAGCTGGACCGTGGGCAGTGTTAACTGAGTGAAGGCCATTGTTCGCCAATTTTCAGAACCACCTGAGCCCTGGGTTCATGTTCTGTCCCAAGGGAAAAGGAAGTCCTCCATCCAAAGTCTTATGACAGAGATAATGTTTCCTGCCAAGCACAGCTAGAACTGTCCCTTAAACAAATGGATTGTTTTTTTACTCAATAATTTTTTGACATCTGTATTTCAATCTCTCATATATTCAGTAAAATAATATTGCATATAAACAGTTTATTCATAAAGAGTCTAAGCACTAAGCTATTAGGAAGAGACATTTACCCTTTGTACCCAGCAACACTGAGCAGCTTTCTTGGACGGCCATTTCATGATGGAAACATGGACAGTGACATGATGGAAACATGGACAGTGACATGATGGAAACATGGCCATGGGAGCAGAGCCTCGCTGTGGGGTGGAAGGTGCAGGAGCTACCAGTGCTTTCTAGTGACCAAACTGCTCATCCAGATGGGGTGGGGGCTGTGAGAGACCCATTTAGCACCAGCCAGCTGAGGGTCTTCACGTGAGTCTGAGCATAGCAGGGTACTGAGAAATGACCTAGTCTAAGACTTCACTTGAGAGCGGAGGAAAGGAGTTCTGAGGAGTCAGATGGATGGCGGGTGGGGGTCAGGTTCACACTATCACCCAGGCCAGAGACTGCTTCATGCCACTGAGGGAGCACACACAGTTGTCTGTGTACCTCTGTTATTTTTTTTTTTCTATTTTTTTTTTTTTCTATTTTTTTTTTGGGGGGGTGGTCAGGGTCTTGCTTTGTTACCCAGGCTGGAGTGCAGTGGTGTGATCATGGCTCACTGCAGCCCCGACTGCCAGGACTCAAGAGATTCTCCCACCTCAGCCTCCTGAGTAGCTGGGACCACAGGCGTGCACCACCATGCTTGGCTAATCTGTTTTATTATTTGTAGAGACGGGGTCTTACTATGTTGCTCGAGCTGGTCTTAGACTTCTGGGCTCAAGTGATTCTCCTGCCTTGGCCTCCCAAAGTGCTAGGATTATAGGCGTGAGCCACCACACCTAGCCACTTTCGTTATTTTTCAGCGCGAGGGACGAGGAAGACAGGTTGGCTACTAGGACTCCTGTTCCAGGCAAACCCCTGATCTTCAGGTGCTAATTGCACCACAAGCACCTTTGACCACTCCCTGAAGCGTGAGACCCACTTCCTCAAGGCCTCCTGTGAGTGCAGGCTGTGAGTGGAGGCTTCTCCACCGCTGGATGGGAGCCTGAGCCTCCTGCTTTCACTGACCACTGCTGCTTCCAGTTGGTTCTCTTCGTGGTGCCCAACATAAACAATGGGCTGTTCATAATTTAACATCTTAACTCACTAAGTTTGGGGTTTTAAAAGGTTTTCTCAAGACTGGATGAAGTCAGAGTCTCATCTTAAAATGTTAGTCTGGAAGGTAAAATACAAGTGATAAAAATTAATACGCAAAATATGGAAAAAAATAACAGAAAAGACGTTCAAAATAAGTGAAGGCTTTTGTTAAGCATGGTAGGGCTCAAGGAGAAGGTAACACGGTGAGCTCTACCTACGACCTTGCACGAGACTTGGCTTCCCACGAAGCGCAGCACTCAGGCAGCTGCTACAATCACCCAAGCTGTTAGCCATCGTCAGTGCTGAGCTGTGTAAAGGTCTGCGCTGCCGTAGCATTCAACAGACAGTAACCCATGAAACTTGTTTCTTTCTTAACAAATACTAATTTCCGCTTCTCTATGAATAGTGAGCCTTTTCCATTGAAAATATCTTATCTGAATTAGTCATATAGAAGCGTCTTTAAGATACCAGCCCCCACAGTGAGTGGTTTACGTTATTGCTCATCTAGCTGAATTGTTTTATGTTTGTTGAATCTTGCTGAGGTAAGACAGAGCAAGGCTGTGGGTGCCAGTCACTGGGTTGCTTTTGATGGCTGTGAAGAAGCTGAGATAACAATTTCTCCACAGTCACAACATGAGATCCAGCTATTGGGAATGCAGAGCCTGTTCTAATGCCAAGCACGCCATTGGTGAGGCTTCTGTGAGTCCTGTGGCTGCAACCTGACCGCAAGCCTGCCCAACACAAATAAGCCCCACTAAGCACCGTCGCGTCCTTTGTCTAAATGCATCTTGTGCCTTCCCTCTTGAAAGTGGTAGATGACGACAGCCCTGGGCAAACAATGACAAGCAATGGCATGAAAGCAGGTGTACACGTGTACACAGAAGCCAGGTCTGGTAAAACTTCCCGGCACACTGACTTTCTAGATGTTTCCCATTGGCCCCACAGATCTACTGTCTATCCTTCTCCATGCTGCTGTGTATGCAGAGGGTGACCTGTATGGACCACATCAGTGAGCTCCCTGCAGTCTGCCCTTCTGCCATTAAGAAGCACTGGTCAGAACCTGGATGGTGGAGGAAGAGTGTGGTCAGAGTATTTATTTCCCCAGCATCTTCTCTCTCCCAGACGCCACACCTCCTGCCAGTGGCTATCTCCATCAGCCACTCTCACCCCTTGTCTTTTCGCCAAGTCTGATGGTAGTCCCAGGAATAGCAGTATCTTTCACTGGTGTCCTTAAATCCTGCCCACTCCTTGGAAAGCAGTCCCTTTATGGAGTCCTTTTATCTCACAGTTTTGTGCTGCCTTTTCTTTCCTACCAGCGTCCTGATTGGTCCATCCACCAATATCAGAATCATACCAACCTACAGGTACTTGTCTTCTGTCTTCTTCTGAAACTCTAGAAAGTGCTTAGTAATTTTATTGGGTCTTGGCTGAGGGCCGAGAGAAGCTCTACTCCCTAACAGCACATTGCTGGCTGCAGCCCTAAACTCCTGGGACGACACATGTGGGGATGTCTCCATGGACCAAGCCTTGGAAGTGGAGGCTCCACTCCACAGTGGACATGAAGAGCTGGCTGAGGGCTGGGTCAGCACTGAAGGAGATGCTTCCCCACCCCAGCAGGAGCAGGGCTTCCCACTGGCTGAGGACATGCTCCATGTGCACCATCAGCCCGTGCAGGCAGGCGGGGCCCCCACTGGAAGGAGCGTGGTGGGCCTGAGGAGACAGCCGTAACATCTTCCACATGCGTGCCTCAGAAACCCCCAGATACGTGATTGTGCAATGTTTACAATGTGAATGATCATGAGTGAAATTGGCATTGCTTTGTCTCAGGAAGAACCTAAATCTGTTTTAGACTTTTGTTTTGGACTCATTATTTTCTCCTTAAACATTCCAAAGAAGAGAGTTTGTCTTGCTTCTTGAATGCTTTCTTCACTGGGATGTTAAGGCGGTGAGGAAACATTAAGGAGAAAGAAGGAGACTGCGGTCAGGTTTCATGCTTCCTTAACCTGGAAGCTGGAAGAGGCTGTGCAGGCAGGGAGCCGACAGCTAAGGAAGGAACACGTCAGTTAGTACCCCAAAGTGTTGCCGGGTCAGCAGTCTCCTCATCTTTGCAGATCGGGAAACTGAGGCTCAGAGAGATCACCTGACTTGCCCAAGTCCACAGAAAGTGACGGGTCTCCTGTTTTCTCTAAAGCCCATGGTCTTTCCTATCTTTCGTTCAACACCCACGGAGGAGTTGTCTGGGGACAGAGAGAAGCAAGGCAAAGAAACATAGGGTTCTCCTTAGAGGAGGACTGGGATTTAGGAGCAAGGGGAAAAACTCGAGAGATTTTAGCACCACCTGGTTATCGGCCCCTCTATCCAGCCCATGCTGGCTAGAACACTGTCAGCCCGTAGAGCAGGAGGAGCGGTGCAGCATCTAGAATCCTAATTGAAAACTGCCCGGTGTCTGAGAACATGTGCCCTTCTCTTGCTCATAGAGTAGGTTAGGCCGGCTCACCATTCACCAAGCCTAAAGGGCGCGGGCCTGCTGGCAGGGGCAACTCACCTGCCTGCTCCAAAGCCACCATCGTTGCCTGCTCGATCAAGTCCCGCTCGATGAAGCTCCTGAAATCCTCACTGTACACGCTCAGGTCTGGCAACTGGAATGTGTAGATTGGCATCTCCAGGGGGAACTGCTCGTTGTTGCATTCACTTGCCACGTGGGACCGGGCCAGGGAGACGATGGCTGAGCTGGCGTGGGAAATCCCCCGGGAAAGTCGCTTTTCTGCAGGGGGAGAAGGAAAGATAGCCACGAGGGCTGAATGGGTGTAGGTGCGGCTCTGTGTGTGTACATAAACACATACTGTGCACACACAATACACACACACAGGTACACATTCATGGACACATGCCACACACGTGCACATACCACACAACATACATCAATACACATTTGCACACATATGAACACACCATACATATTCACACATATATACTACATGTGCACACACTTATAAGCAGAGATATACATGTGCATACACATACTGCACACATACACACACACATGCACACACGTACACACACATGTGCACACACTTGACATGTGCATACACATACTGCACACATACACACACACATGCACACACATAAATGCACACACATGAATACAAAAGTATACACAGGAATATATGCATGCATACACTAGACACATATACACTGCACATCCACTTGCATACATACATGCACATATACTACATAGCATATGCATACATGCATGCACACACACATACATACAGATACTAGGCACATATACTATACACACACACGCCCATGTACATACACTACAGACTGTATACATACTATATACATGTACACATATAGATGTATTTGCACATACTACATACACACAGCACAAATACACAGGACACACAGTGCACATACATGTACAACATGCACAAACTATATGTATATGCACACACATACACACGGCACACCCATATTCTCTCTGTACCAGCCCTTCTATCCTACAAGCCTGTTCTATCCTGCAGGCCTTCCTGCTGCTGGATTAATCACCATCACCTGGTATGTGGCACTTATTCACAAGAGTCAGGAAAGCACTTAGTAAGTGGGGAGCTGCGAACCCACGGTACAGCTGCACATCAGCACTGTCAAAGAGCACCAGGCTTGCTCTTGGGTCTGCAGTTATATCTAACTCGAGTCCACTGAGCTGTCCTCTCCCAGGACTAAATGGTACAAGGAAGACCGCTCTTTGTCTCGATGCCTTTATGCACTTAATGCAAAGAAACAATCTCAGGCATCCACAGCGGCTCAGGTTTTAAGACAGGCTGTTTTACTAAAGTTACGCTGATAAATGCCTCCTACGTGGCCCTCCCAGGACACAATATTCAGTCAGTCCATGTGTTTCTCTTCCGTCTGGCTATTCTTTTGCCACAGCACTCTAAAAAGTCACGCTCTCCTCTGGCTTTATTCTTCTTGGGCTTTTCAGCCAGGGAATGAGAAAGGCAGTGTGGGATTTCTCTAAGGTACAACATGGTACCATGTTAGGAAGTCGACTACCTAGAAAGTACATGTATCCTCTTGGCGCTGCAAAAGCACACTTGTTTTTCTAAGCCCTGTGTTTAATGACCAACATTGCACATAAAACAAGATTAAATATATGTTAGGAATAGGTTATCTTTTTTCATAGTGTTTTCAGTAAGGAGAAGTCTTTCTAGCAAGGCGGTAGATCTTTCATTTTTCTCAGGAAAGCACGGTCTCTGGTGTTTTATTCAAAAACCTGCTGCCTGTGTTGCCTAAATTAAGTCTAAATAAGGATTGTCTAAGCCCTGTGGCAAATTCCCGAGGCTATTCCCTGAGGTCCCAAGGACTCCCACTGTCCTTCAGTTCAGCCTGCCCACTGGTGAGGTCTGTGCTCCTGCAATGCCCCCTGAGGTCCACGCTGACCAGCACACCACGGTCACGCGGAAAACCCAGCCCCAGCCTTCACCCGGAACAGCAGCGTCCTCCTTCCCCACTTGCTAGAGCACTGGACAGAAATGGCATTCATGGAGTTCTGTTAAAACAGACTAAAAAGCATCGGCTTTCGATCCTGTGGCAAGTTCGTTTTAAACCCAAAGCGAGTTCCCAGAAGGTTCATGTATTTTCCCATTAAAATGAATACAGAGTCACAGAGACAGACTGTATTTCACAATGGGTGGTTTAGATTCACCTTCAGTTTCACTCTGAGACCAACAGGATTAAGTTCTTCGTATTTTGAGGAAAGGTAAAAAGAGAAGTTAAGCCACACAGGCAGTTAGAAAGAAGAGGGAGGGAGCCTGCGGGCCCAGCTTCGGGGGTGGGGGCGGCCCATTGCTTCCCACACTGGTTCAGGTACTTGAGTGCAGGAGCGGCGGAGGCTTGTGTCTTTCTACCTCGTGCAAGCCATGCTGGGGCCGCTCATCTTGCCACATACTACCTTTTTTGCATCTGGAAAGAAGGAACTGCCCCATTTTTGGGGACCCGATGGAGAGGGACATCAGGCATTAGAGAATTGAGGTGCTATGTGCACCCGCAGTTGGGGGGACAGACAATCTTGAGGCTGCTCTCAACAGTGGGCACCTGCTGGTCAGGGGCACCCATGCTCCTCCTGGCCCATCTATCAGCACTGACATGAGACACTTCAAGGGCATTGGAAACGTGGTGATTCCTAGGACAACAGGATGCTGTTCTGCAGTTCTAAACATGAAATATTTGGAGTCTAAAGGAAAAAAGTATTTTTGAACTAAAAATATTAATAGATTGTGTTGAAGATCATATAATGAGAAATATATGCTCCTAATTCTAACATTTCCCGTGACACCCCAGGAATGCACATGTATCATCTCTCTCTCACACACAGAGTCACAAACACACACACTCACATACTGATTCTTTAAATGTGAACTCAGTGATTCTGCTTTTGGATGTATAAATAAAACGTTTTACAGGAATTATCATGATCAAAGTTATGTCTCAGAAAAACACAGAAAGATTAAAAAACATAACAAAACATAGTATAAGAATGTACAGAATTTCCCTGCCACTGACAAAGGGGAGATGTATTAACTATAAATTCTTTTTTCATTTATTTTCCTTTTATTTTTAATTTTTACAGAGATGGGGTCTTGCTGTGTTGCCCAGTCTGGTCTCAAACACTTGGGCTCAGCGAGGATTATAGGAATGAGCCACTGCACCTGGCCCTGCATTTTCTTATTTTCTTAGTTTTTGTTGCTCTGGCACCTGGGACCTCCCCGACTGGGGAAAGGCTGCCCCTCCCGGGTGAACCGATGTTAGAGATGGCAAAGGCCTTGCCCGGCAGCATGCCTCTCCTATGCGGAGCCGCCAATCCAGAATCTACGCTCCCAACCACCCTCTCCAGCTGGCTCTTACTCTCCAGGAGGCAATGTTCCTTTGCCCTAAGCACTTCAGGCCAGGTATCAGGCAGCTGGAGACAGGCCCTTTGCCCCTGAGCTGGCTGCAGTTATGCACACTAGCTGGGGTAGGGGCTGCTCCCCCTGCCCTGCCTTCCCATAGAAACCATCACAAAGGCTTTGGTCCGTGCTTCCCCTCACTCCTACCTCCGCACGACCCGCGCCTCCCAATATGGCCCTGCATGCTGTCCTGGGCCTGTTTCCACCTTCATGACAGTAATTTCTGTGTTTGCGTGTCTTGTGATACCTGATTAAAACGGATCCTGGGTACATTTTAAAACAAGTGGACAAAACTTTTCCTAAAGGGTGAGCTAGAAATATTTTAGGCTTTGTGAGCCACGCAGTCTCAACTACTCACCTCTGTCTTTGCAGCACTACAGCTGCCGAAGACAGCACATACATGAGTGAGCGTGGGGGAGTCCCAATAAAACTTTACTTAAAAAACAGGCCAGGTTGGGCTGACAGGTCATTTTCTGGCCCCTGATTTAGAATATGAAATGTTCCATTTTCCATTTTAGCACACTATGGTTTCAGGAAGAACTCAACTAAAGGAGACATAAATTCAATTCGGAAACTCTGTAATTCAATAAGAATCGATATGATTGCTCGCAAGCCTCAATTAATAGGATTATGCTGGGATAGAGTCCTATTTTTTTTTCTTAAATGGTATCTAAGAAAAGTCAGATCACAGTATGTAACAGCTACACTTACTAGGCCCTGATTCTGCCAACCTCTCTGGTAGCAGACGGGAGGTTCCTTCTAGCCCCTGGACCAGGAGGATAAGATAATGGGTTGGTTTGTTTGCTGCCAGCTCAAAAGAGCAGGAATGGCCATGTGGTCATCTGTCTGGACTGCTGCTGCATGAAAGATACCAGGAGCCTTAACCGTGTGCTACAGTCAAGGAAGGCCCTGAGAACAAGACCGAGCCAATGACTGGAAGGGGTGGTTCCTCTGGAGTCAGGTCTAATGGCAGAAATGAAACCAAATTTAAGAATAATCAACAAGAGGGGCAAGACAGTGCACAGCCTCAGTGTCCTGTCCTTACACCCACCTGGAGATCCCCAGGGGCAGGAGGTGGGAATGGGTGAGACCGACAGAGAGGGCCTGGGGAAGGGCGTCTGGTCCTGCCTTTCCTCTCTCCAGCAAGGCTGCAGCATGGCCTGCCTTCCCTATCATCCCCCAGCCCCGACCCTGTGCCAGCTGGAGAACATCAGGTGGTGCTGGAGCACAGCTGGGTGGGGCAGCAGTCACCATGAGCACCACTTCCCTCCTTTCCTGAACATACGGGGGAGCTTGGCAGTTACACCAGAGCGGGGCAGTCCCTACAGGAAACAAGGACTTTCTAGAAGAGAGGAGCTGGGAGCAGCCCTCAGGAGATAATCCAGCTGTGCGGAGGGAACAGGCAGGGAACTTCTAGAGGCCAAATGACAACATCCAAGGCTCTCCAGCTTGAGGACCCTTCCCCGCCTCCCATCTGGAGGAGCACCCACCAGAGCCTGTGCTCCAGCACAAGTGAAGATGGATGATAACCGCACGCCCCAGGAGCTTCCAGGGAAACTGTTAAAGAAAGGCAACATAGTACTGGCCAGGAGGACTAGATTAAAAAATGAGCCTAGTAAATATGTGCAGAGAGATAAAGAGAATATCAGAATGCAAAAAAGAAAAAAAAATAATAATGACAAAGAATTAACTTGGGATGAAAAAAATTTAATGAGACTAATAATGCATTCATGTGCAGAATAAATGGGGATGTGAAAACATCAGGTCAAGTGAATCTCTTAGAAGACATGAGGAACAAGCTGCAAGAACACGATGG